TAACTCAGGAAGCGGAATCTTTTATAGATGCTAAGAAGCTAAAGGCGAAAAGTTCGTCAGTTCCCCGTGCCCGTCTATCGGACTTGGGCGGTGTCGATGCCTGCATTGAAGAGGTTCTTGAATTGATTGTAATGCCCTTGGCCCATCCAGAGATTTATTTGCACACGGGAGTACAACCGCCCAGGTATTAATAACTTCACCAGAACATCTATAATCCCTAACGAATTCCTAACAAAGTCTTGACTTTTCCGTTCAAGAGGTATTTTATTGCATGGTCCGTCCGGATGTGGAAAGACATTACTTGCTCATGCTATCGCAGGGGTAAAGTACGATTGAGAATTCATGCTTTGGACTTGGGCAACACGTACCATTTTGCGGCTAATAATACATTCTTACATGTTATAGGAGTTGGGTGTTCCTTTTGTAAATATCTCAGCCCCGTCTATAGTGTCGGGGATGTCAGGAGAATCAGAAAAGAAAGTCAGAGAAGTATTTGACGAGGCAAAGGTAACAGCTCGGCGACGCTTTAGTGGGAAAGTCTCAACGAAAACAATGTTAACTGTAAGAGTTTTATTGTTAGGGATTAGCACCTTGCTTAATCTTTATTGATGAAATTGACGCGATAACGCCGAAACGAGAAACCGCACAACGAGAGATGGAAAGACGAATTGTCGCCCAGTTACTTACTTGCATGGACGGTATGTGAACACCGTGTCAAAAACTTTGTCTAGTATCAGTTCGGTAACTGATAGCCCGAGGCATCTTAGATTTATCATGGGACAAAACAGATAACAAGCCTGTCTTAATAATCGGAGCAACGAATCGTCCCGACTCTTTGGACCCTGCACTGCGCCGAGCTGGAAGATTTGACAGGGAGATAAGCATGGGTGTGCCCGATGAAGAAGCGAGAGAAAAGTATGCGTGTGTCTGCATTCGATATCACGCGAATAGTACCATATTTGCATACAGAAAATGCTTACATATATTCACGTTTTTAGAATTTTGAGAGTCATTGCATCAAAACTAAGGCTTTCTGGTGACTTTGATTTCAAGTCACTAGCAAGAATGACGCCTGGTTATGTCGGTGCTGATTTAAATGCACTAACTGCTGCTGCTGGCGTTATTGCTGTCAAGCGAATATTTAAACAACTCGGCAATGATATTACATCTGCACAAAAGACAAATGATGATACGGACGCGATGATAACAGATGAGGGAGATATACCGACATTACAACAACCGTCAACTCCAACCACTACTATGTTAACATTGCATGCAGAACCTTCAGCACAATCGATCCCGTCAATATCTCTCGAATTCGGCAATCACTCTCCTACGGAACAACTTCGTTCTATATCCGCCTTTCTTCAAAGCCATCCGGAACCTCTCACACCTGCAGAACTCGAACCGCTCTCTATCACAAGTGACGATTTTATACAAGCTCTTTCCAAGGTTCAACCTTCATCTAAACGTGAAGGCTTTGCAACCGTCCCTGACGTCTCATGGAGTGATATTGGTGCCCTAAAGTTTGTTCGAGAGGAACTCCGAATGGCCATTGTCGAACCGATTAAGCATCCAGAGTTCTTCCAAAGAGTAGGAATAACTGCACCATCGGGTGTTTTGCTTTGGGGTCCACCAGGATGTGGGAAGACATTATTGGCAAAGGCTGTTGCCAATGAAAGTCATACGAGTTTCATTTCTGTCAAGGGTCCAGAGCTATTAAATAAGGTGAATAAAAGCGTCATGGTTGTGAATATCTGGGGCAGGCTTATAATGAAGACGTATTTAACGGGAGAAATTCGCTTTAATTGTAGTATGTAGGTGAAAGTGAGCGTGGAGTTCGACAAGTCTTTGCACGTGCACGAGCGTCTTCTCCGTGTGTAATATTCTTTGACGAACTAGATGCATTATGTCCGCGCCGTGATGACTCTAAGGTGAAGAGAAAATATTCCTAATGTCGTTCTCTGCACATTAAATCGTTCGGGAAATAAGTATTTAAAGACTTGCTATCACTATAGTCAGAGTCTTCTGCACGTGTCGTAAATACACTACTCACCGAACTCGATGGATTAGAAAATCGAAAACAAGTTTATGTCATAGCAGCAACTAATAGACCGGGTTAGTATAGTGCTTTGTCTTTCCTTAACTGTCGAATGTTTGCAAGCCAAATTAATCGTAAATTTCTTTAACTAGATATCATTGATCCGGCAATGATGCGCCCAGGACGACTTGACAAATTATTATACGTCGAACTACCGACTGCTCCCGAACGCCAAGAAATCTTACGAACGCTGACAGCAAAAACTCCACTCGCTGCCGATGTAGACTTCAAAAAGATTGCAGAAGATCAACGTAGTGAAGGCTTCAGGTCAGTCGATACATTATATAATCATGCTCTAATCGTAAGATATTAACTTGGTCTATAATTTTCCCTCCTAGTGGCGCTGATTTAGCGTCCCTCGTTCGCGAAGCTGCGGTCGTTGCATTGCGGGGGACGTTCTACGCAAACGATTCTATGACTTTGACATCTCCCAATGAAATTTTTGTTACCGCAGAAAACTTCGAAGCTGCCTTTGCAAAGGTCGCTCCGAGTGTTTCCAAGCAAGACAAGAAAAAATATGACATTTTAAGAGTTAAATTTGGATGTGCTACAGAAAACAAAGTTGCTGGAAGAGATAGTCCCACATAGACTAAACACGTAGACTTACAGGTGATCTATTATTTAAAATTATTACTAAAAAAGAAAAGAAACTTTCCAAGAATTGGCGACGCTACATAATTTCATTATTCGGATGGTATGGCGCAGTCCCTTTATTTCAAACGGACGTGCATTGACCTATCCGACTTGTCAGTTCGATTAAATCAGACATTTATGTGGTATTGACATAGAGGCATTGGATACAAGTCGACTCTGTTCCTTCCAGGGATAGCAAGCGGATGAAGGACTGTCCAGTCGTATCATTGTAATGGAAGGAGATACGAGACTTGCTGTCTTTAACTATCTGAAAATTTGTTTTCGCAGACGCGTAAAAAGAAGTCCGGACTTTATATTCTCTATTAATGCCGTTGTTCGAAACTTTGTGTACAAGAAAATTTGGTTTGACAAAATCAAATAGTTTGCTAGACGCGATTATTCCAGATTGTCCGTTTCTAACGTTGCGTGGTTTGTGTATTTCCTTTATCAAGAGCCTTGAAACTTTCAGCTCATCTAGAAGTTCTCTTACTACCTCGACATGAAGAAAGAATTGAAAGATCTCTTTGTAATCAAAAATACAAAATGATAACTAAAGCATTCGACATGATTTTCACAAGTCCAAACCATCTCATACACGCGAGGATGACTTTGACAAGGGAGGCGTCATTAATTACTACAACCGTCCCTTGAACAAAGTTTTAAAGTTGTTATTATGGAAGAACCTATCTATAATCATTGGTTCAATTATAGGCACCAAGCTTTTCCATTTATTCTTTTTAGCTCCTGCGTAAATCTTAGCACCCCACCCCTTTATCGTCGCCAAATCTTGATCCGCTTCATTTTTTGAGTAGGAAGTGAAAACACATGGAATATCCTTATCGATCAAGCAATGAACAGTCGGCATCCAGAGTTCCGTATCGTCTTCATACAGACCAGAGTTAAATCCGACCGCCAAATGAGGTGTTATAAACTCTGATGATTGCGCGTATTCATGGTATGCTCCCTTGAAAAACACAATGTTGCGTGTTCTTTTAGCTTCTGTACACAGCGGACAACAGTCTACGCAAACATTCTTGTTATCTGGTACGTCCAATCCTACAAGCACCAATCGCAAGGTTTTGAAATCAGGCAAGACGTGCATCAGTTCTTCGTATGCCATCATCGATATTATCTCAAACTGTGCCGCACCAAGTATGTGAATGACAAGCTCTTCCAACGAATGCAATGTGTTTTTTTTATAAAACCGTTCCAATGCTTCGAGAACGGTTAATGGTCCAGACAGAGAATGTGTAGCCACACGTGCGTATTTTGGGACAAAAGGCGGTGCCTTGCGCCAAGTAAAATATGCATCCCAGCCTGCAGGCAATGGTGGAAAAGATTTCGACTTGTCCCATGTATCTGGAGCCCATAACACTCCATCACCACCCTGTTCGTACTGTACCATATCGCACTCAACCACCTGCTCGTACGTCTTACAAAGCGCTTGATGTTTGGAGCGACAAGTGTCCCAATGTTCATTAGAGCAACATGCAACTGCACTGCAATTTGGACAGGGGATAAACTTTTGCGGACCTGTCAATTCCAAGGGTGTTAGGAAACATACTTGACATTTAGGCTGAAAAAACAAGAAATTCTTTTCTGCAGCGGTAGCTGGCCTGTCCAATAAATCGTCTAATAGACGAATGTGTTGAACGATGCGTTTATTCCATTCAGACTCGCTTTCGCAAGGCCACCATGACTCTTCTGAATTTGCAAGATCATACAGTGCTAAGCAAAAGCGCTTGTGATCAGAGAAATCCATCTTTTGACATTGCTTTGAGCAATAATATGACATGCGGCATCTCGCGCAACGCTGAAGAGTTGGTACGTTGGCTTCATGACTTGTCTTGCAACAATTAGAACAAGCTACGCCTTTAATTTGAAGTAGAGTTTTGCGCTTTCGCAGGTTCTGTTTCATAGCGGTGCAGGGACAAGTTTTACTGGTAGATCAAATAATTTTAATTTGCCATCTTATGACCTCAATGCAATAGTTGGGTTGGAATTTGTTTTCATAAAAATAACTGTTAACAAGTTCAGATTGGTTTTTTGCAAATGATAATTCTATTGATTCTGTGATATTCGGAGTGCAGTAACTCCTCGTGAATCTTCTCTACAAAGCAGTCCTACTTCGCGTAGACACTAATTATGAATTCCATTGATACATCATGCTCGATTCAATTATTAAACTTCTATAAATTAGTGTCCTCCCGTCCATTATGACTCTCGTATAATTTTGCTAATAATTGTTAGCGAAATCATACTTAAATCTAAGCTATTCGTGACAGAGCTGTCAGCTTTTGATTAGATGACTTTTTGGCCGCACGCTTTAAATTAATATAAAATAAATAAATGGCCTAGCAAGTAAGCCTAACGTGTGTTGCTGGAACTAAATAACAAAAGTCATATACATTACTACTGAACAAGTCTAGTTTCTATTTTATTGATTCAAGTCTTCTGTAAGTTTAAGCCGTACCGAATCTGGAAATCAGCCGATATCCTCTTCATCCCAAGCCCACTCTGACGCATCATCTTTAACTTTTACACTCTCAATTTTGTTCTCCTCGTCCTGTTTCGTTTCGGTCATTCCCGTTCCTTTCTGCTCTCCCTCTTCTTCCTGTTTCACATCTTTATCAGTGTCTCTTTCTTCCTCCGTTAAATCTTTCTCTCCCTTTCCATCAATATCCTTTTCTTTTTGCGCTTGCATTTTCTCCTCTGTCTGTCCTATTGTTTCCTCTGTTTCTTTATCGACACTTTGCTTCTCCTCATTACTCTCGCTATCGTCGGCAATTTCACCGTCTTCTGGTGACGATTCTGTAAGTTTGTCTTCGGTGACGGATTGTTGACTATTATTACTAGCGTTGGCATGATTGATAGATGATGTGAGCAAAATGCTTGGGTTCACGTTGATGGTAGACATATCATTTTCGTCCATGATTTCGATTAGTTCTATTGGTGGCGTAGAGACAGTGGTTTGTGATTTAGATTCAGGCGGATGTTTGCTTGGCAATGGTGAATTATTCTCATTATCGATAATCTCGTTTGCATCTGTCATCACGACATCGGTTATCCCAGTTGGCGTAGACAATTGGCTTCGTAAATTCGATTCTTGTTCCCTTGCGTTCTCAAAATTGTCTTTATCAGCCTCGTATGCATCATCACCAGTGGCTTTCCTCTCCTCTCCGACTTCTCCCAACAGCTCTTTTTCTTCTTCCTCCTCTTTCCCTCTTTCCTCTTCACGCTTCGAAGCAGTCCATGAATCCAATTGCTTAACAAAATTGTCATCGTCTTCTTCTGGACCCAAGCCTTCTAATATCTCTAATAATAATTCGTACTCTTGACATGACTTCTCGTATAGCCGTATCTTTTCTTGAGTGTGAGTCGTTAAATGTGAGGTTATTGCCGAAAGAGTAGAATGCAGACGGTGATGAAGAGGGCCCGTATTGACTGAGGAAACAGCAGGAGGTAAAGTTGTTGGAGGAAAATTGGAAGTTGGGGAAGAAGATGGAGAAAACGTGTAAGCGTGATCATAATGATGTGAATAAGTAGGATAAGTCTGTGGACTTGTGCGAGAGAAAGCTGTTGGTGAATAATAGGAGAAAAAGGATGATATCTGCGGCGAGAGATCTATGGGCGATATTTGCGACGTGTAAAGACTATAAAGAAAAAAAATCAATTTAGCGTTGGCGTGTTGACAATGCGTAAACTTTCACAGACGTTTAACACGAGGCTCGATTCCTCTTCCCTACCTATGCTCTATAAAAGAATTATGTAAATATTCTGATCCTTGACCAGATATTATAGTTAGGGGAACAGGGATGACACAATCGCCATGATTTGTTCTGGCCTATATAACAAGACCAAATTTTAATACGTGACATCCATTATTCGCGTACATGCGACCACATTCTTACAGTCTGTACTCAAGAATCTCACCTTTTTGATACTCCCAACATTATTATTGTCATCTTTTTTTCTTTTACCTTTACTGACACCTTCTCCCTTTCTTCCCCAGTCATTCCTTGACAATTTCACTCTGTCCATATCGGTCGTGCTCGCTCTTCTACTTACAAGCCTGCGACCCGTTGCGATTTGGCTAAGATCGTAACCAGTTGCTGTTGGCTGTGCGTCTGAATGTATATCAGTGGTACTCGCCGGTGATGACAAAGAAGGATGAGGTTGAGGAGACGGCGTGTGCGTGAGTGGAGTTTGTTTTGAATGTGACGCGGTTGGATCATCCGAGGCAAATGGACTTGGATTAGGAGTTGGGGAGGCAAGTTCAGAGACAGTGGATTTATCATTGACATTGCCATTATTATCACTAGAAACACTGTTATCTCCATTATCACCAGTAATAACACTACTGTTGTCATTGCCATTGCTACTTTCCGTTCGTTCCTCTTCAGTTTCCTCTCTTGTGTGCCCTTCTACTTCCTCCGCTTCTTCCTCGTCCTCTTCTTTTTCTTCTTCGACTTCCAAAAATTCATCCAATTCTTTGTCGATTCCGATATCTATTACGTCTTCCACATCATCATCCAGTTTTCCAATCAATTCCAAAACTTCCTCGTATGTTGGAGCCGATACAAATGCTTCGGCAGTGGCAGACGTTAACGGTTGGGCCGTATGTATAGAGGAATTGAGTGCGGTGTGTGAAGATGCGTAGGGCGAGAGAGGGGACGATGGTGAGGCAAGATGGAATAATTGAGAAGAGCGATTATAAGAAATGATTGGACGGATTATTAAGCCTATTAAGTGTTGGAAGAGCGAGGTACATTCTTGGGAAAGCTGGGTAGCAAATACTGGTATGTCGCAGTCTGAGAGAAAGGATATTACAGTATGGGAGAAAATAAGAAAAGGACAGAAGGAAGAAAAAGAAAAAAGTAAGAAGAGAAAAGGCAGGGTAGAGATTATGGGGTGAAAGTGGAGGAAGGGGGAGAGAATAAAAAAATGATTTGGGTGGCATATTGGGTATGATATTACGGATGATATTGTATCGTTAGTGAGTGTACAACAACACCTTTCATGCACAATCCATGTATTAACCTTGTCTTTACCGGTATGGTTTGGAATATAATTAGCAGTGATTACTTTCAGCATTGCGGCCTGGAAAGTACGAAAATACGACGACGCTATGTGCGTAGGCTCATGACGGTCTACTATATCCGGAGTTGGTGCCTGAGAAAAAGAAAAGATTGAGGACAAAAGGAAACAAAGACCCAGTGGTCAATATAGTAGTTGAAATAAAAGAGGAAAAGTTCCAAAGCATAGTCATGACTTTGACATCAAGTGTACCTTTGCCATAATGAATATAGTTTCGTGACATTCAATTAAGGTTCCTAGTTTACTCGCATACTCACCACATACCATCCAAGTACGGTGTTGCCTTTCCATCTTATAAATTTTGCTATTGCATTAACAAGATCGGAGGACGATCTATAAGGGAGGAATCCCTGTGAGGTATAAACAATATTAACATTCATATTTTTTAACAGCTCACCCGCCTTGCTTCTTATATCGCTACCTTTACGTGTACGATCAGTCCTCGATCCAGACATTCTTCCCGCACACCAAAGAGTATTCCTTGACTGGCTGTTTCAATCTCGGGTTTAAGTCTTATGAAAACATCTATACGCAAGTGGGAAACGAAAGCGGCGAATTAGGCTGTTGTCGGAGTAGGTAGGCGAGCAGTATTTGTATGTACCCTTGGGTATTTCGATCAGTGGCATAGCTGGTTTTGCCTGTTGTTACTTGAAGAATCGAGTGGAAATCGTTGTGATTTTGACGGGTCGTGACGCATAATAAACGATAAACGTCCGAGAAGTAAAGTGGTAGCTCGGTATTATGTAATAGCTATTATATTGGGTGGGTATTTGTGACAAATTTATTACGTCAGGCATCTCACCGGTACAACGTTTACATTAAAACCTATTATTACCCCCCCACATTAGGCAAAGATAACTCCCGCGTCAGCCCAAGCTGACTCGTTTTCCTTTTTTGTAAGATATCATAAGAGAATATTACGAGTACCATTTATATCAAAATTGGGAACAGCAAAATTCCTTAGTTTTTTATGAATATATCCCAGAATCCGCAAGTTTTGCTTGTGTACTTGACACCATCGATATTCACGCGACTTATGGATCACATGCCGTCAAAAGCGAAAATGTGACCATGTACACATGGATCGAGTAGTTTTGGAACCGATGCGTCGTTGCCCACGTCGGACCATTCCAAGAATGCGAAATTCAGTTATGCGATAATTTTCACAAAGCCTTATAATGACAGTCATTCACAAGACAACGGATCCTCTTGTGAATACGTAACATAACACGGCGTAATCTACAATTAGAAGTAGTAAATAAACAAACAAACAATTAATTAATTAATTAAACAAATTTTACCTGTAACGTTTTCGCTTATTTTTATTTTTCCATTTGGAGTTTGTCATATGCATGACATAAATTCGGCCAAATCACACCTGATCCTCCTATTAAATTATTAAATATATAATTAATTGAAGTTTTAATTTAATAAAGATAAAATAACCTTTTGAAATACAGGACCTTGATTTTCAGCCCGTATTTTCAAGTGGTCTGGGTATACAAAGATAATATTCACCAAGCTGATTCATAACAAGGCGACTATTATATTCAAGTTTCCTTGGAAGAGGTTCTGATGGCTTGATATTAGGAAGAATGAATATTCACCACGCGATTTACCACAAGATTGTAATAGTCTGTCGAGAATCCTTTTTAGAACGGAATTTTTTCTTAAATTTTTACGATTAGCAGCAAAATTTCTTTAAGCAAGTCATTCATTGCTTCATCACGGAGTTTCGAGAACCCATTATCATTGAAGTTTTTGGCGTTGAGACATAGTGCGCGTAGAGCCTTCTTTTCTCGTTTGATATCTTCTTTTTCGACTGCGATAAAACACCGATTGTATGTCCATCGAGCTGTTTCCATCCATCTTCCGAGTTTCAGCGCTCCTGCTGATTGGGATAAATGCAAATCCGTTGTACCTTGCCTACTGGAAGTTTCTTCCCTTCTTTCTTGGAACTCTTGAATCTCTTTTGCGATTTGCGGCTGCACGTAATTTATTATGTCGCGCCACGAATACTGTGACAATTGCAAGTAAGTCTTCTGCAAGTTCTCCGGCTTCGCTACTTTTGCACTGACATCCGTACCGAGTACAATGAGCCGAGTCCCATTCTTTTCAGAGATCCATTCCGCAAGCTCGAATCCAAAACGGCACAATCGGTCCTAATAGAAAAGGTATTAAAATAAAAAAAAATCAAAGCAAAACCTTTCGGGTAACCACCACTTTTTCGATTCCTCCTGTGTGTATAAGGGCAACAAACCCCCTACGTTTTCAATTGAGCCCCTGGGAAGTGCTGTCGGAGATTCGCAATCTGTCGTTCAAGGTCGCCTCGCCGATGCTCCGAACTGACTCTGGCGTAGCAGATCTTGGCCTTTGCGCGGGTTGTGTCTGGTTGTCTCCAAAGATTCTGAAATTGAGTAGAGTCGTTTTCCATCAGGTGTCCTGACAATGGAAATTCTTCCAGTCTGCCCACTTTCAGTTGGGACGTCATAACGTCTCTTGATTTTATTTGCACTTTGGTAAGTAATCTTGTTTTGATCCAGAGTCGTTAAAAATGTGGATTTTGTTCAGGAATATGAGGTTACCGGCAGAACTGTGTTGCTTAAAACTATTTTGCTTGTATTTTATTTTAAAATGTGAGGAACCGTATTAATCATTAATAAGCTCACTAATACAACAAATGTGGAATGTTCGAAATCGTGTAAACTGTCATCATATACTAGTTCTTCGCAGCTTAGGAGCGGAAACCATTTGTTAGAGACTTAACTATAGAGAATATGACAAGAGATTCAGCAACTGTTGATATTTCGATAGATAGGTTATGCTGTATTTTCCCGTGTTTGAAGCATTTAGTAATTGCGATCCGATTCGAAATAATGTTGGGGAATATTTGTCGGTGAAATAATTGTCTCCCGTAAAAACAATACGTGCGCGTGTGGTAAAACACTACAGTTGTTTTCTCAGGAGATTATGTTTCATGAACATTTTTACTTTTGAATTATCCGTATTACTACATATTATAATACAAGGAGACACTATACATCAATCGTTTTACATTGTGTAACACATTTTCTGCTGTAGGAAGCGACTGCGTTTTGCGCAAATTAGGCATGCAAATACCGTCTGTGTTATTAAAATTGGATGTTGGTGCAAACGCAGCAGGCACGAACTATTAACCCAAGAATTCGGAATATGCGCTTCAAAATCAAGCGGTTATTTACTGACGCGATGGCAACTTTCAAAAAAAAAAACTGTAAAGAAATAAGGACTGCCGAGACTAAACTAATTGATGGATTACTCACGGCTTACAATACAGCTTACAATACAGCTTACAATACAGCTTACAATACAGCTTACAATGCAGTTTAACCGTGTTAATGTACTTTGTAGATACCCAATTTTTTACGAAACAAGTATTTTAATATTGCAACTATTTCAAACTCACGTTATTTTAGGTCAGTGCTTAGCTTATCTTTATAAATTTAAAAATTCTTGTCGGCATGGAAATAAAAACTCAACATCACATTTGATAGGTAAAACAGCTGGTATCAGAAAAAATTTTGTTTTAATACAATTACATTTCTTCCCGTTGGGCTTGATCCAAACGAAAGCAGATTTGAATAGAATTAGGGAATAAATAATTTAAAACCCAGGGGGCATAAAAGACTGGCAGAAAAAGCATGACATACAAAGGCTAAGAGATCCAATGGTTCTATTTTTAAATTAGCATCGCGGAGTCATATTTCCAGACATGCACGTGGTTTAGGAAGCAAGAAATATTTGAGAGCGAAGATCTTTGGTAGGGTAGTAAGTAGGTTCTATTTTTTTTTTCAAAATCGACTCTCAGAAAGCATGAATTAGTTTTGTTTTTCTTCATCGCTGTGCTATGATTTGCATTTGTTCTCCCTATTTAGAGCAACTTTATTGCTCTTTCTATATAGTATGACGTATGTCTCTGCGTAGTAAACGAAAACGTCTCGTAGCTACACTCGAGTAACACAAGCATAGCAACAGCGGAATCTATACAAACGTAATGACAGAAACAGAGTTTTCAATGCTATTAATAGGTTCTACCGATAATATCTTTTTGACTTTTTTTAGTTCCTAGTACATCACAGATAAACGGTGATCTGACGAGTCCTTCAATTATCTTTTGACAGTGCCGAATCGGGAACGAATCCCTGCTGTTTGATTTGTAATTCATTTTCCCCATTTTAATCAAAAAGTCTTGGCATTCTATTAGTTTAGTGAAACAGTCGAAAAGATATATAAGCTATCTTAATGTTTAGACAACAGCACCTTCAGCATAATCATTTTTATTTCGATAAATAAATTTGTCTGTTCATTTCCTGGTAGATTCTCTATCTCTGGTAAAAGTGTAAAACACTTTCGATATACCGAGTCGAACCCGCCTTCGATTTGTTGCAAGATTATTATTATTTAACAACGCGTTAGTATAGAATTTATTCCCTAAATATATAAGCTTTCCCATCGGAAGAAGTAGACATATAGACATAGTATTTGCGGTTAAATAGTATTCTACGATCTGACAACTGACTTGGTCACCAAGTATCGTTTATAGGTTTAGTGAGAGTATACGAACGCCGCGTATATTGACTAGGACATGTGGTTGTCATGGCAAGTCATAGACGTAGCAGCTAAAACAAATTACAATTCGTATAGTCGTTAATCACAAGAGAAACCCTCATGTTTGGGCTCATCGCGTTCACGGTGTACGTTTTTGCTAGCATCTTTTGTTTATAGAGGATTTGAACCCAGGCTCCCATTGCTGGAACCGGTCAGGTGATATATTTGGATTATTATTGGATTTTGTACCGTAGAAGTCCCATTGTTGCATTATTACGATATTACCGCCTTTGTGATAAATATTAATGTTTTATTTCTCATCTGATAAGTTCGACAAACCTTATTAACACATGTTCTTATAGCGAGTAAGGTTCTTCAAGCTCTGGAGAATATTTCCCGAAAGACTTGCCAAAAATTAAAGTTCACGGAAAAAAAAACTTTGTTTGTAACAAAAGGGGCTAATCCTCATACGGATTACAGATTCCCGATAGACAAACAAACATGCAGTGTCTTATTGCGTGTTATTTATTTCCATTCTTCAAACGTACTCTAAAAATAGTACTAACAAGAAGCAATTATCTGAATAATACCCTTTTGTGAGAACATAGGTTACCAGCTAAATGTAAGATTCCAATAATGGGAAGTTCAGGAACGAATTACGGTTTAGTTTTTGTTACACTACTACAATAAACATTTATTTTATCTATATTATTATTATTACTGTATTACGGTTGTCCAAAAATACATGGGGGTGAAAAGAAGTACAACTATAGTAAACAATTTGTGAATACCAACTAACAGCAGTCGACATCAAAAAAGAGCAGACGCTTTCCGACGAAAAATGTTATTGATGATGCTAGTCCAGCTCCGGTTTTAGCGATTCCACTCCAATTGCCAGTAATTTTAGCAAGAAGTATATGCGCACCTACTATATGAAAAGTTGCCACAACAAACAACATTATCATCAACAACATGCTACAGAAATTGTTTAGGTCATGGCCTGGCTTTGCCTTCGTAAACCAAACGGATCGTTTATCGTGTGATGAACATATCACGCAAATCAGTAAAGGTGATATGACTAACCCTACTACATATATTATCCAAATCCAACGCAACGTATATGTCATCTTAATACAGAGCATAACTAAACCTATCCACCCACACGCAGATAGTACAACTGTTATAAATACTCCAAGAATTATATAGGCCTTGTCTCTTGACTTGTCAGCATCCGTGGGTTTTTCGGTATCCGCTTGATCCGCTTGATCATAAGCATAACCATCATAGTCACTTCCCGGATAAGTATTAACAGACTGTGCTGACGAAGATTTCCCATGAGGTGATGGGGGTGCCTTTGTTGTTTGACTACCTCTAGCACCATCATTCAACATCTTAAAACCCCATGGTGTAAGTTGTCCGATTGCAAGCAACATCACTGTATAATCCCCAGAACAATGATAGCATGTATAAATAGTTGGTCCTAACGTCATAGTTGCTGCGACAAGTGCCATCCATCCTGACTGTGACTTGTAATAAGGCCGGCAACCTCGCCAGAAAGTGAACAGTGTTATGTTTGCGTACGTTAACGCAATTGCTAAGATCGATAGACCCCAGCAAATCAACCCGAAATATCCGTATGGTAATCCATAGCAATATGCACCGCGTTTGAGGTCGACTAAAATGAACTTTGAGTCAGGCAATGTTTTAAACGGCTAAGCATTTAAAAATTCAGCTGATCAAACCTTCATCCTTATTGACATTGGTGGTATAGGTATAGACCATTTTTTCGGGCCGTTCGCAACTAATGAGGGGAGAAATCCTTACTACTGTGTTTATATAGTATACACATGCTTTGTTACAATTGACAGGAAACAGAGAGTATATTTGGATGTTGAAACACTAAATTGTGGTATAAGTGTTACTTGGATCGTCACGGAATTGGTCACGGAATTGGTCACCTTTATTAATGGAATTTCTGCTACCAATGCGTTTGTTTCATCTTAAACACAAATCTGATTAATGCTGATCGAACATTCCCCCGTACAGATTAGCAAATCAAAGGGCAGACAGTAAACAATGAATTGAGTAACAGTAGCAGACAGACGAACAATCGCATAAACGCTTTTTAAGTGTCAGCGATACAGAAAAACGGAATGTTGAATGTCTAATTATTCTGTTTATAGTAGGCATGGTTAATTGGGAAAAGCATCGGCATGATTACTAGCATAAAGAGACAATCAAAATAGAATAACAAGTCTATTATGTTATAAATTTTACGACAAGCGATTTAGTTTCATCTAATTTGTAATTGCAGTTGTACATTTTGTGACACGATATCCAGCGCACTATTTTCTTTGTTTGTCAAATAGGTTAGAAGTTACATGAGGGTATATCAAAATATTCATTGAGCATGTCCTTGCCTCTATGTCTTATGTGTGCTTGACGGTGTAGAGTTATATATAACGGCTTTGAATAATAAGGATTTTAATAATTTTATAGTAAATATTATATCAACATTCGTTAATATTAAACAGTAATGTGTCTTTATTGAATCGGACCAACAATATTTTCTTATTATTATATTTTGTTTTACAAGCAATTAAATACTTAGTTTGTTTTTCTGTTCAGGAGTCACCGTTACGTTCTGACTAAAGTTTTAATTTGATAAAAATTCTCAGCTTTTCTTATGTAATAATGTAACCTGTCGTCTAGTACTGTCAAACAATTCCTTAATTTATAATTATACATTACTATTACAGCAGGTTTAAATTATGGAATTACAAAATGTTACAACAAATAATAATAAAGTGAATAAAGTGTTCACAATTGATAACTTTAAATTAACATCTCACCTGGTTGAACACATTTTAAAATCGTGTCATCTTGACAATAATATTCATAAGTCTCTTTACTATTACACTCATCTCATACATATGTGTTATCTGGTTTACTATTACTATTAAATTTATTATTCACTATTAAAATACACATGGCCTTAATATTAAGAGAATACGTCAAACTTCGGTGACATATTAAGATTACTCAACGTATCGTCAAAGAACAACAAGACATTTCCTCTTGTTCTTAATGTAATAGTAATGCATTATTTGAAATTCATATTTTTTGAAATTGTAATATACTTCTATTAGTGTATATGGTAACTCCAAGATTACATGGAGTAGACAACAAACCAACAAAGTAAACATTAACCATGTGAACTAAAATGGCAGACATGGCTAAGAGATTAACTAACGCTAAGTATTGATACCGGCTTTGTATTATGTATGAATTAATTTTTTAATTTATAACAAACCTTTTTATTATGTTCCGGTGCAAAAAAACTTGGCACACGAAATTTTTACCTGAAATTCCTCATATGTATGTGAGCATAGAATTTAAATAAAATGTAAGGAAAATGTCGGACTTCAAATACTCGTAACAAACTTAATCATTCATCTTTCCCACAGAAGACTGAATAGAGAGCACAGTTCTAATAGTTACCCCAAAAGCAATTATTTGCGTTTACCAATACTTTTAAATACCAGACTGTGTCAGATGCAACGTCTGGAACTATCACTGTGCTTCATCCTAAATCTTCTTGATATTATTGCACGCCTTTAAAAAAAGGTTATGACTAAAATAATTATTGGGTATAAGATCACTTGATAAAGCCAAAGCATATGAAAATTTGCATTATTATTAGTCGAAACTGACGACTAGTAAACTTTGTTGTCTGCATAAATGTTTCAATAAAATGTAGACTCTCAAAACCCACTTTGTGAGTCAATTCATTCTAAGTGCAGAAGTGTGTGAATGAATTTCAGAAATAATTCCATTATAACATATTGGCATATCAACTTCTTTTGTACCAACATGTTTTCATATAATAATAATTCACCATGGAACCAAAGAGTTATAGCTCAATTAGAAGCATTCTAAAGGAGAAAAAACTTGAAAATTGCCCCTACATTATACGTTTTAAAATTAATAGTACCCAAACATTCCAAAATATATATTAATATCTAAAAAAAATTACTTGTAAAAATTTTCAAGAAGAGTGAAATAAAAACCAACAAAAAAGCATTAACAAAAATTATAACTAGCCAAGAAAGAGAAAAGTTGTGTAAAGGAAATCACTAAATGTACTGATTGAGCGACTTATCAACAGAAAATTATTTCTTATATTATAGTCTGATAAAAACTGCTCGAGATCATTCGTTAAACTTTTGATACATTTGCAATCAAGAGTCAAACAATGTAAAAGTAACTAATTTTTTCGTAAGTATAAATTTTATTATTTCAATTCCTGAATGCATATTTTGAAAATATAAAGTAAATTTGATAGCCGCTGATTAGAACAAATTAACAACAAAACCTGGCATGAAAGAGGCACGACGCTTCAAAGTTGGGACCGAGGCACATCCGGAAAGCAAATTTTATATCGAGCCGGACAATGTCGAGGAACTGGCACTTGAACTTCCGTCTGGAGAACATTGCCACCTTTACGGGCATCGACAGCGAAAAGTCGACAATCGCATGAGCAACATTACGTTATCGTCGGGAGATTTGCCCATTGTCAACTGTATGGATTATGGCCTCGTTTACCCTCAGCCCTGTATGATATCATTTAAGCATGATAATGAGATAAATATGACAGTTGACTTAGATAAGTTCAAACCTTCGCTCGAAAGAAGAACTTTATTACAGCTACTTTACTGTTTCCTGGGAAAATTAATTTTAATTACTCGATCAAACCAATGGCTTCAATTATCCATAAAAATTGTAGATTTTTTATTTTTACTTGCCAATAGAGCAAAAGGGAGAAGGGAGGCCCATAAACTTCGTCAACTGCACACAGCAATAATGTACCCTTAATTGTGATAGAAACGATGGTTAATGAATTGAATTGGGAAAAAAAACAATGCTCAGAAAAAACCCAACGAACCAAATTTGCTGGCGCGGCTGAAAAATTTGGCCAGACTGATTATGGTGACAAAAATAACTGCAAGTTTTATTATGAAAATATTAATGTGGATATTTATCGAAAAAGTTTTTTAAGGATAACTGTTTATACCGTAATTACGATAATATGTAATTAATCGATGAACAAACTAATAAATTATCTGCATAAATATTACTATTATTGCTATCATGTTGTTCAATAAACGTCTACGTGTAGTGTCGTCATTCTTTGAGGACAAGGTGTGAACTCTCTGATATAAGAAATCTAGACTTCGGTCCCGAATAAGCGATAAAAAACTCGATAAAAACCAACACTAAAAAACACTCCTTGCTAGTAAAGCTCTAAATAATGCCTTTTTCGCACCGCTTTTTCGTTATTTGCCCGTGGTATAGTATATCGTAATTGATCTAATCTCATTGTTATTCGAACATTGGACTGAAAGCACCTCGCGATAGTAGTGTGTTTATCCAAACAGTTAAAAAATTACGCGCGTATTTTCAAGATATCTGTACATTCTCATTTTTCCGATGCAGATTTGAAAATAATTGTGATGTGAGCATGGTACATAAAATATGTCATTACATGTAAGTTCAAAATAAAACGCAATAAACTTTCACAACTATTGGTCCGCACTTGTCCAATCGAGCTATTTGAGCGTATTAAGTGTATTGAGATATAGCGATCAACGGAAATTATATTTCTCAAGAGGAAGTCTTATACTAATATAGAACCTTTATTACTTAAGTAACAATCTTACTTGTGGCGTGATTGAAAATGACGCATAAAAGATCTAGGTAATGTAGTTTGAACATTTCGATTTTTTGATTATATTGATAATCTCGATATTGTAAACTTCCGCCAGTTTTCAACGCGTCCCTAACATTGCAAAAGGTGAGAATTAGTTTATTATAAATCAAAGTAGAGATGTCACATACTATCAAAGCAATAACATGGCTAATTGCAAACTCTGTTAACGGGATTGAAGCCTTTTCGACCACCAGCCTTGTCATAAGAAACAGTATAACCGTCATGCTTTAGGTCCATGAAAAATATTCCATCCATTCACCTGGTTATCACAAAATCTTAATTCACTCACATACTGCAAAACATAATAATAATAATAATAATAATAATAATAATAATAATAATAATAATAATAATAA